ATTCTCATCAAATCCCATTAACTTGTTCCATTTCCTTTCAGGAACAAAAAAAGAAAGAAGTTAAGAGAAAGAGAAACGTCCTGCTTCACAGGCGGTGGGTTAGATCAATATCGGCAGAAGAATCATACACATCCGCGGTAGGGGAGAGAGCGTCGGTAGTAGTCGAAACGCCCAGAAAACTCTGATGAGGGACCGAGCTGGAAGGAAGGTGCTGCCGCGGCTGGATGGGTTCCGGCCACACGTTAACAAACCTGGCTGCACCCGCAGTAGGGTCCATGCCCGGAAAGTGGGGAAATGGCATTGATGAGGTGTGTTGTTGATGTTGATCAGCAGGGAACAGAGCAGGTGGATGGTATCGCTGCTGGTGGGTGGCCGGAAGGTTTTGCTGAGCTGCTTGCTTGTGTTTGTGAGCGTTCTGGTGCCCGCCGAGCGCTTGAGGGGAGTCAAAGAGCCTGGAGCAGTGGGGACAACGAAATAGCGGAGATGAGATTATGGGCGGCTGGATGTGTTCCGGCCACACGTTAAAACACACAGCTGCTTGATATTGCTGCTGGTGGGTGGCCGGAAGGTTTCGCTGAGCTGCTCGCTTGTGTTTGTGAGCGGTCTGGTGCCCGCCGAGCGCTTGAGGGGAGTCAGAGCCTGGAGCAGTGGGGACAACGAAATAGCGGAGATGAGGTTATGGACGGAGCTGCTGCATGGCTGGTGGGTTTTGCACCCGAAGGCAGGTTGTTCCTTGAGCGGTCTGCCATGTTGAAAGTTGCAGATAGGGGAGGAGGAGGAGGAGACGTGGGTTGGGAAATTTGGTTGGGTGGGTTATTTATAGATGCACTGAAATTTGAATTTTCGTTTCATTTCATTTGCATTTGCATTTTGAGTTTTTAAATCCCGTCCGTCCGATTGCCAGAGTGATTCACGTCCGTCGGATTTCAAAGTTTATATTCTTCTTTCACGAAGTACCCTAGCTCCTTTTTTTCTTTTTTTCTTCTTTGAAATCCATATATGGCAATGGCAACATGATCGGAGGGACCCACATAACTCCTTTTTTTCTTTTTTTCTTCTTTGAAATCCATATATGACAATGGATAGCAACATGATCGGACGGACCCACATAACTCCTTTTTTTCTTTTTTTCTTCTTTGAAATCCATTGTCATATATGGATTTCAAAGAAGAAAAAAAGAAAAAAAGGAGCTAGGGTACTCATCAGCAGCCCCATCCATTACCTCATCTCGGCGATTTCCTTGTCCCCACTGCTCCCAGCTGTTTGACTCCCCTCAAGCGCTCGGCGGGCATCAGAACGCTCACAAACACGAGCGAGCAGCTCATCGAAACTTTTCGGCCACTCATCAGCAGCAATACCAAGCAGCTGTGTGTTTTAACGTGTGGCCGGAACACATCCAGCTGCCCATAACCTCATCTCCGCTACTTCGTTGTCCCCACTGCTCCAGGCTCTTTGACTCCCCTCAAGCGCTCGGCGGGCACCAGAACGCTCACAAACACAAGCGAGCAGCTCAGCGAAACCTTCCGGCCACCCACCAGCAGCGATACCATCCACCTGCTCTGCTCCCTGCTGATCAACATCAACAACACACCTCATCGATACCATTTCCCCACTCTCCGGGCATGGACCATACCGCGGGTGCAGCCAGGTTTGTTAACGTGTGG